AAAACCCTCTCCGAGGGTGCACCAGCCCAGCAGGGCCTGAGGAAAACTTTCTCTTGAGAATACACAAGGTCGGGAGGGATTGGGGAAAACAGTTCCATTTCTGATTACTTCGGTATGTTCAATCAGGATGCAGTGATAAAGATTTTAATAACACTATTTCTGTTTATAGCATGGAAGGTGCAGAGTTCAAATCCCCACTCACGGAGAAGAGAGCCAGCTCTGAACAACAGGAACACCACCAATTTGAGGTCTAGGAGCTGCGGTTGTAATTATAGGTTCACCCATTTTTTTTTCCTAATATTTTGGAGTTTTATATAGTTATTCCAAAAGTTGTTTCCTGCAAGAATTGGATGCTTTAAAGATGAAAAATATCGTGTTTATAAAGACTTCAAGACACCCTTAAAGATTCAGCATGCACTGAATAATCCTGAGTGACAGTGTACACTATATTCATGTAACAAAACTGGCTCACTATCATTGTGCTAGCTAGAAATGACCTAGTCGGAGTCACTTCTAATCTAACTAGATTTTTTTTGTCATTAGGCTTTGAAACAATTAAAGGCATGTATCAATATTTCTAAAACAAAACTTTATCGCTCACTACTGAGAAAGGGTAACACTAAAATTCAGCGTTTCTCTATAATTAACTTTCAAATGGCTTTCCTAGTCTTGTAGCGATTCACATTACAAGGTTATGGGTGTAAATTGGTGACTTTTAACTTTTAAAGTTGCCTGTTTATGTGTACACTCTTCTAATATCCATGAATCAGATTGTGCTACTACAAACTACAATTTTAATAACTTCATGGATTGAAAGCATCAACAAAGATAAACTGATACACACAGAAAGAAGCAGCAACAACTCTTTCTGGAATAAATTGTTTCTTGAGATGAAAGAGAAGGAGACACTGTTATAAAGTAATTGAAAACAATCTGCAAATTAACCAGATAAACAAGCTGTTTCCTGAAAGAGAGATGATAACAGCTGCTTGATAACCTACTGCCTCATGACAAATAAGACTGCCTGCAGAACTAATGTTTTTAAAAAAAAGGGGTTAATTGCACGAAAAGATGTAAGTTAAACAGAGCTGACCCCGAATATAACAAGGGACAAGGGAGCTACTTTTGATAAGAAGTCAAGTTACAGGCTTGAGGTCTCCAAAAGTGTAATCAATGGTGGGAATGAAAGTATATATTGAATCATCAATAATGTCACACCACAAACTTGAAAGAGAGAAAATTGTTTAAAAATCCAATATCAGAACAAATCAGAAGCAGAACTTCAAAGAACAACACTGCACCAGGATCAAACCCTAGACACTTGCAGAGACAGACACTATTGGTCCAGTTCTGAGGAAGGGTCACCAGACCCGAAACGTTAACTCTGTTTTCTCCTTCACAGATGCTGCCAGACCTGCTGAGCTTTTCCAGCAACTTTGTTTTTGTTCCTGATTTACAACATCCGCAGTTCTTTTGGTTTTTATTTACTATTTGCTCAAGTCCTGGCCAGATTCCACATTAATCAGGTAATAGCCAAGTTAGGTTGTGAGACTTAACTTGCATACTTGAGGGGTCTTATTTTGATTGCTACATGCAATAAAGTTTAAATCACAGGTAACTTGTAGTGGTTTACCGTAACAAGGTAATGCAACAAAATCTTGGCTTGGGATCGCTCTAAACTGGCTGAATTCCACATCACTCAGCATATTTACATACTTGAGAGCCAAATATTCATTTGTTTTATATTGCACATAAATTGATCTCCTGCAGTGTTGTTCAGGGTAATTGAAACAATTATTATGCTTATTTCTGAGACTGGCTTCTGCCTTCATAAGCAGTACTCTAAATACTCTTCAAGTAATTCTCCAGCTATTTCAGTACTTTGGAAACTTTGAGATCAAACAAAGGCTATTTTATTTGTGAATTCTGCGTTTCAGGCCAATGTTGCAAACAGACATCAGACTTCTTATGAAATGTAAGAAACATAAGAGAAAGGAGCAGGAGTAGGCCATTCAGCTCCTCGGGCTTGCTTTGCTATTCTATGTGATTATAGCTGATCATTCAAATAAGAATCCTGTTCCCACTTTTTCTCCATAGCTTTTAATCCCTTTATCCCTAAGTGCTATTTTTAACGCCTTCTTAAAAACATTAACTGTTTTGGCTTCAACTGCTTTCTATGGCAGATAATTTCATAGGCTCAGCATTCTCTGGGTAAGTAGATTTCTCATCTCAGTCCTAAATGGCCTATCCCATATCCTTAAATTGTGACCCCGGTTTTGGATTCTGTGGTCATCGGGAACAACTGTTCCGCATATATTCTGTCAAGTCCTGTTGGATTTTTATATTCTCCCCTCATTTGTCTGAACTCCAGAGAATAGTCTTAACCAGACCAGTCTCTCTCCATACCTATCAGACTGGTCATCTCAGGAATCAGTCTTGCAAGCATTCATTGCACTCTTTTCATAACTAGAACATCCTTCATCAGATAAGGAGATCAAAAGTACACACAATACTCGAGATGTGATCTCACCAAGGCCCTGTACGACTATAGCAAGTCATCCCTGTTCATGTATTCAAAATTTTTTCTAAGAAGGCCGACATACCACTTGACTTCTTCACCATCTGTATCACCTACACAGTTATTTTTAACGACTGGTGTACAAGAACACCCAGGTCTCAATGCACCTCCTCCTTTCCCAATCTATTGCTACTCAGATAATGGTTTACTTTCTTGTTTTTGCTACCAAAGTGGATAACCTCACATTTGTCCACATTATACTTCACCTGTCATACTTTTGCCCACTCACTCAGCTTGTCCAAATCACACTGAAGCATAGAATCTCCACAGTATGGAACAGGCCATTTGGCCCAACAAGTCTACACCGACCCTCCAAAGAGCATCCCTCTATCCTATCCCTGTAACCCTGCATTTCCCGTGGCTAATACACCTAACCTACACATCCCTGAACACTTTGAGCAATTTAGCATAGCCAATCCACCTGACTTGCACATCTTTAGACTGTGGGAGGAAACCAGAGCACCTGGTGGAAACCCACGCAGACATGGGGAGAATGTGCAAACCCCACACAGACAGCTGCCTGAGGTTGGAATCAAACCCAGGTCCTTGGTGCTGTGAAGCAGCAGTGCTAACCACTGAGCCACTATGCCGTCATTCTATATTCCCCTCACAATTCATCCTCCTACCCAGCTTTGTGTCATAATCTAAACATTATAATCTAATTTATGAAGAGTAAAACTTTGTATGATTTTTGCATTCAACATAATTTGTAAGGAGTATTTTGCACATGGATAACATTTTTAAAACTTTGTTTACATTGTTGTCTAACATTGGTGATGCCATGAGGTAGGAATCTGGGTAGACTGCAGATTTCATGCTTTGGTACCAGCATTACTAAACTTCATGCAATAAGAGCACTAATCAAAATATGAGGTGAAAATAAAAGCAAAATACAGTAGATGCTGGCAGTCTGAAATAAAAACAGAAAGTGCTGGAGATATATAGCAGGTCTGGTAGTTCAGATCAAAAGGTTAGTGCCTTCATGTCTCTGCCAAAAACTGTGGACAAAAAGGCCTTAAATAAATCTACTATTCCAACCAGTGCTCCCATTGCACAAAGCCAAATATCACAACGTAAAATCATCCCCATAGTCTTTAAATGGAATGGAATTTGAAAGTGTTTTAAAAATAAAGACAAGTGCAATAGATGGGTCTGGGAAATTGGTTTGACTGGTGGAGCAAAATAAAACATTGGCAGGGGACGAATTAAGAAAGAATCTGTGAACTGTAATGACCAAGTTAGGGGGGGTAGACTGATTCCTTTCTTTGTCCCTTCCTCGGATGCCCACAACAGAATTTAAAATTAAATGAAAAGTGACATTACCAATTGTATAGACTTGGTATCGGAAACGAGTTTTTGTTTTTTCACTCATGGGATGTAGGCATCACTCCCTGGACCATCATTTGTTGCCCTCGTGAAGGTGGTCTTGAGGAGCCTTCTTGAACCACTGAAGTCCATTTGATTTAGGTAAACCCACAATGCCATTTGGAAGGGAGTTCCAGGATTTTCACCGAGAAAAACTGTAGGAATAATGATATATTCCAAGTCAAGACGGTCATTGGCTTTGAGGGGAATTTGCAGGTGGTGGAATTTCCATGTATCTGCTCCCATTGTCCTTCTAGATGAAAGTGGTTGTGGATTTGGAAGGTATTGTCAAAGGAGCCTTGGTGAATTTTAGCAGTGTATGTCATAGATGGCACCCACTGCTGCTACTGAGTGTCAGTGATAGAGGGAGTGGATGTGGTGCCATTCAAGTGGGCTGCTTTATGAATGGTGTCAAACTTGTAGATGGTGGACATGTTTTGGGGAGTTCAAGGAATAAGTTACTCACTAGTCTTCTAGTTTCTGACCTGCCCTTTATAGCCAGTGTATTTATATGGCAAGTCCAGTTCAATTTCTGGTTAATGGTAACCCATAGATAACAATATTGGGGGATTTAGTGAATGTAATGCCATTGAATGTTGAGGATTGATCATTAGATTACCTCTTATTGGAGATGATCATTCAGAAAATAAATATTATTCATAGATTGTACAAATATCGGCTATAGCCTATATCACTATCTACATAAGTTATTGGTACTTCGGTTCTTCCCGAAATCAGTTCTGGATGGTTAAATGCTGTTTCTTTTGGAGTCAGTGATATAGATTCAAATTTCTCCTTTAGAACCCTCCAATTGTGCAATAAGGTCTTCCAGTGGGTTTTCAACTCTCAAACTTTGATGCAAGACATTCGAAGAAAGAGAGAGAAGGCAAAGGCTGTTGCACTGTGGCAGTTTCTTGTTCACTGGATTACAAATAAACAATCAATGTTCAGGAGTAGGCCATTTGGCCTCTTGAGCTTGGTCCATAATTTAATAAGGTTGATCTGATTTTAACCAAAAATCCATATTCCCACCTAACTTTGATAACCTTTCAATCCCATTTTTTACCAAAAATATGTTAATCTATTCCTTTAAAATATGCAAGGATTGGCGGAGCCGGCTCAAAAGGCTGAATGGACCACTCTTGCTCCTATTTTCTCTGTTTCACTGGCTATTCTGGAATAGACTGGCATCCTGGCACCAATGCCACCTTTGAAATCCTGTTGTGCACGCAGTGTTGGCAGTCCAGAGTTAATCTACATGGTTTGTCAATTTGTTCCAGGACAGGTTATACAGGGAAAATTGGCATCTCACTTTGTGAACAGTGACCTGAATGTCTTGGTTGACTAAATGCTGCAGAGCAGGGAAATCCTCTTGCCCCCAGGACTAGCAGAGGAAGCCATGCTATTAGATCCTGTCTGCCTGGTCCAAGGTCACCACCAGGATCAGTACAGTCTCCAAAGTTCAGAGGAATACAGAACAATGCTGAAAAATGGTCAATGATCTTCTCCATTCTGCCAGAATAAGTGTCACCATCTTCTCTCTGCCACCTCACACTCAAAATCCCTGCTACTGCATTCACTTGCACAAAGATTAATGCTGTACTACTGTCACGGTTGTACACAACATCTCCCTGACACAT